AGAGAGAGAGAGAGAGAGAGAAAGAGCGCGGCTAGGGTCATCCCGTGTTAAGATAGTTGCAAAATCCAGGCAACTTGACGGAGTTACTTAATGTTATTTTGTTAGTTCTGTGGCTCCCAAAGCTTGTGTATATTTGGAAACTGTAAATTTACTTTGTTTGCGCTAATGATCAAGGTTTTTCAGGAAAATCCACACGACATGATTTTTTTTAATGCACACACACATTAAACAAATTCGAGAAATATTTCCCAACTGGTGGAATAAATGCCGAGTTCTTGGATGTCCTTAATTTGATGAGTGCCTTATGTCCGCAGTATCTGTCCGGAGACGTCTCCGATGGAGATAGACCAATCAAAAGGCGTTGTGCCTTTAGACCAAGTAAAAAAATCTCGAGGGTTCCAGGGGAGCATGCCCCTCCCTCCCCCCCCTTTTTTAACCCATAATTTAATATTTTGTATTTTTGCGACAGTTTTAGTGGCTATGTGTGTGATTTGCAGTAAAAGATACACAGTTTGACCCCCCCACCCCCCATCCCCCAAAGCAGTGCATCAGTGTGCGGCAGCGCGTCTCCGAATAGTTCCTGGGTGCTCGTCGGAGACGTCTTCGAATATCTTCTGCCCCATAATTCTCTACAATGACACACAATTGAGGATCTTAGAACAGCACCAAAGTCAAGTCACATTTATTTGACAATTTCGAGAAAATAAGCAAAAACCTCATTCATGAAATACATACAAGTACGTTCCGATTAGAGGGTTTAAAAAGAATTGGGTATTTTTGAAAAATTTTTTTAATTGAACTTGACTTTGTTGTTGAGCTTAGTTTTCTCATTTTTAAACAAGAATAACTAGGCGTAGGAATAGAATAATACTTCTTTTGTGCTATTAATAGATAGCCCTTTGTCGCGAAAACGGTAAACGGTAAACGGTATGGGTTTAACGCCCCTATCAACTCTATTAGTTTTTTAAGGGGCGGGAACGTACTAGTTTAACGTCCGTCTCCGATAGGACCGAGCCACGTGGGAAGTTCGTGTAAAGTGCCTTTCCCAAGGACACAACGTCGGGCCGAGCTGAGGCTCGAACCCCCGAACCCGCAATCTCACGATTACGAGTCTGGTAGCCTAACCACTAGACTACCGACGCCACTATAATGATATTAATATAACAATGATGATAATAAGAATAAGAATAAGAATAAGAAGGATAATGAAAATAAAGACGCCCTCCAATCACCCATTAACACTGACAGAAACAGCATAGGGAAAGTAAAGAAGTAGGACCTATCACTATCAGTAACACCCTCCAACCACCCACACAGACGGAAACAGCATAGGGAAAGTAAAGAAGTAGGACCTATCACTATCAGTAACACCCTCCAACCACCCACACAGACAGAAACAGCAGAGGGGAAGTAAAGAAGTAGGACCTACCAGTGACACCCTCCAGCCACCCGCAGTGTGAGACTGACTGTACCATGGTAAAGAGATCAGCTTTTAAGCACGAGGGGGCTATCCCGAAAAACGCTGTTTTGAGAAAATCGAAGGTAAAGTTTTTGGATCCTTGTTCAGTTTCTTTAAAAGACAAGGAGAGTTTTCTGTGTAACCAAACAATAAAATGTATATTTAATATACTCGCCTATGAAACCAAACTTCTCCTAGAGGTAGTGCAATGCCCGTTATTGGTGTAGGTCAAGAATTCTGGAAACACCCGAAATCCTGATCTACGTTAGCCTGCTTGTCCTTAAAAGCGACCTAATATGGTTTGCTGAATTTTTTACTTCACATCGACCCAGAAGTGGCCCCAAAGATCATACACAACAAGATAGTTCACTCCTCTCTTTGAGCCAATTAAAAAAGAGACCGTAATAAAATCCGGTGGCACCCTTTTCGAAAATATGCGGACTCTGCTCTCAGAGTTACCCTACTTGTGTGAAGAACAATAAAAGCAAAACTAACCAACTGTGTTATTCCTTTTCTTCTTCTTAAGAAACGAAAGAGAGCTTCAAAATCTTGACCTTGACCATCAATAAATTATTTATAGAGGCATCAGCCATCCATGAGAGCTTTAAAAAAAAAAGACTGCAGCGCCACCAGAACCAATACGCGGACTTCCGCGGACACTTTTTTTTTTTTGGCTAAGTGAACTATCTTGTTATGCACGATCTTTTTGGTGGCCCCAGGTAGAGCAAAACGTACCCAGACACTGACAAACTGGCGTAGTCGTTGGCTGCCCGTTGATGCTCATATGACCTAATGCAGTTGCGAGCGCCGTAAAACCTCTACTAAAACTAACTAGCCAGGAACCCGTTCCCACCAGGGTGAAGTGTGAAAACTTCGTGAGACGTGGACACAGCTTGGAGCCCCTTGTAGGATTCGAATAACAAGAATCTTTTTTAACCCTATCCGTACGCCCAGTGGCCATTTTGTACCCCAGGGGTTGTATTCTTCATATTTTAGAATACTCCTAGTGCAAAGATCTCTTCGAAACTTTCGGTATTTCTCAAAAAATCATTTTGGCAGACTGCTATGCAAAACGTACGGATCGAATTAACGAGTAAATTTCCTCTTTGGAAAGTGGTGGCACAGAGTTCCCCACGTCGTATGGATACGATAGTAGAACACGACACACGGATAGGGTTAATCCGCTTCGGAGATATGACAACCAGGGAACTGGATATCTCAACATTGTGCTTAGAGTCTTGAAACTTATTGGAGCTACAGCACATGGGAATTTGAGAGCATGAGTGGCCTTATCTCGGATGTCATGAAAAGTGGACATACGACAGTTGTACTTTGGGCCGACGAAGTGTTTGAGTCACAACGCATGTTCTGTTGTCTATCTTAGGATGAAAAATAAATACATCTATCTCAAAGAGAAGTCGATATATCTGCGACTGAAGGAGGCGCAGGTTCGCTAGTTTCAGAAGTAATATTAACAAGAAAAAAGTGTCCTTGAAAACTGATGATTTACAACGTGTGCGTGCCTTTAACTTAATCAACCTTTTTTTCAGTAAAACCCACTCTGAAAAGAGCTTTTTAAATGCGTATAAAAAAGGTGTTGCACCGAATTTTAAAAAAAATGCGATTAAAAAAAAATCGCCAAACCACCAGAAAAATGTCAGTAACCTATCTACGATTTCACTATTAATTTTTTGACGAGCGCCCGAGTTCATCACAATGCTTCACATTTTCGCCTCCAGACACTGGGTATTATAAGGCACCGGTAACCTAGTGGTTAGGCTAGCGGACTCGTAAGAGTGAGACTGCGTGTTCTGGGGTTCGAGCCTCAGCTCGGTCCGACGTTGTGTTTTTAGGAAAGGCACTTTACACGAACTTCCCACTTGGCTCGGTCCTATCGGAGACGGACGGTAAACTAGGAGGCCCCGCCCCTTAAATAACCTAGTGGTGTTGGTAGGGGCGTTAAACTCATACCATTTCACCATTTTCACTAGGTATTACGAGGCGGACAAACTCAACTTTGTCTAGCATAACCCATACGATGTGTGAAATACGTGATGTCGGTGAAGAATAGAGGAGGGCAAAAGCCGGATAAAATATACAGATGACCGGATAATCATCAGTGGAACATTATCCGAATTCAGACTCTTAACTCTCTTTCCTGACCCGTTTGCCGAAATGCGTACACCCCTTTGATGAAGTGATGCTTCTAACCATTTCCCGAGGCGGTTCATATCACATTTAGTTTGCCGAAGAGGTGGACTAACATTATTTATAAAATATAAATGACCATCTCCATTGAAAAAACAAACTTCCATCGTCCGCGTAGAGCCGTGATGATGCAAACAGTTACACAACAGTTGACGGAAACTCATGGTGCATTGATACAGAAACACGCATACACACAGACAAACAGATAAATAGACAGACAGACAGACAGACAGACAGACAGACAGACAGACACACACGCATGCACACAGACAGAAACACACACACAAAACACACAGACAGACATACATACAGACAGACGGGCACACACGCATACACACACAAATTGTAATACAAACGCACAGACATAAGCGCACTGACACAAATACAAACACTCATTCACACACACACACACACACACACGCAC